GTAACGTCGAAGCTGTCGCTGACAACGACAGTGTTGTTATACAGAAGGAAAAGAAAAAGATAGAAAAGCAAGTTTGCAAGGATCCTATTCAATAAATAAAGTGTGTTTGTTTCTACCCTTGTTTTCTTATTCTAGTGTTGCTGGTGTTGCCCTCACTACATAATTGTACGAGCTTTTACTGTGCATTTTGGTTTGCTTTTTGCTGTTTTGTTATTTTTTGTATCCCTATGATTTCTGTAATTTTCTGTTAGAAGTAACACAACGTAAAGTATTTTGTCAGCTATATAACAGTGACTACCTGTACAATTGTAGATTGAGATTTGGAAATAATGATTATGTCATATATTTCTAATAGATATTAATATTATTTTCCGCTATAAATATGTCGAATAACTGTACTGGTAGAGAAATAAGGATTTCTTTTTAGAAAGTCACTTGTTTGAGGCCAGTCATTGTTCATAACAGGACTTAAATCGTCATCAGTCAAAAAAGATTTACATTATTTAGCGCTCAAATCGACATAAGTTAAAAATTCAAACTGCTTTTTGTATTGTTAAGGGACTTGGTTAAATGAAGGGTCAAACAGGTATCATGCACAGAGTAGGAAATACTTATTCTTCCGGGGCACATGATTTCAACCCTAAAGTATGTGTTCATTTTACAAACAGTTATGGATATGCTTTCTAGTAATAATCCTAATCCGTTTTTCTTATACTGGTTTTTACTTAAAAGCAGCTCTGTCGCTACCTTTGGACATTTCAACATTCGAAAAATGTACTTACTAGTCCGACCTTTGCAGAAAATTTGTCATAGATTTGAAAACTAGAAAACCGCCATAGATTAGGAAACTAAAAAAACTGCCATAGATTAGGAAACTAAAAAGTTGTCATTGATTAGGATTCTAAAAAATCTGCCATAGATTGGGGATGGCGTGACGTCATATTAACCATAGATTAGGAATCTGCCATAGATCTGGAACCCACCATAGATTTGAGTCCTACGTATATATTATAACTATGGCTGTAATACCAAATTATTTTCTATGCTGTTTTGATTGTCAACAAAAGAGAAATGATTCCGTTTTTATAAAAGAAACCAAAAGCTTGTTATTTTATGTCATTGTTAAGCTTAAATTTCAGAATATATTGTACCTTGTCTATGGCGTAACCTTCCATGTAGGTGTCGGTAACAAGACAGCAATATGATTGTTCTTTTGTCACAGAAATTGTTATCATATCTTTTTATAGATTAGTTAGATTTACAAATTGTAATTCAATTTCTCAAACTACATCGGACCTAGAAGACTTGTTATGAAAATGTAATTTATGTGTATAGTGCATTGTTTTAGTTTTTATTTTGTAAGTATCTGATGAGTCTTTTGTAGACAAAACGCGCGTCTGACGTACACAATTTTATTTCTGGTATCTATAATGACATTATTTACAACCACTCGGTTGATCCCACTGCTGGCGGAGGTTTCTTCCCCGAGGGTTACACCAGCCCAGCCCAGTAATCAGCACTTCTGTGTTGACATGAATCATTATTGATATGGTCATTATAACAAATTAACTGTTTACAAAACTTTTCGAAATTCTAAGGATTTCCCACCACAGGAATAGATTACCTTAGCTGTCAAAACCTTTTGCAATTTGGATCCTAAATGCTCTTCAACTTTGTACTTTATGTGGTCTTTTTAAATTTTTGGATTCGAGCGTCACTGATGAATCTTTTGCAGATGAAACGCGTGTCTGGCGTACACAATTTTAATCCTGGTATCTATGATGAGTTTATTTGCTCCTTTGCCTTTGTCATGGATATGTTATATAATTGTAAACTCTCACATTTAGTCGAGTCTCAGGAATAGAGAAACTACCTGTTACGATGATTTTGTTTTTGTGATATCTTCGGGTTGGAAATGAGGCATTTATCTATCATCTGTTGTAAGATGCCAAATAACCGCACATGACTCTTCAATTTATTTTATCAAGAGTAATACGAAGGTTTTCACTAGTGGGCAGGAGCTGTCGGTCCTTCCGGGATACATGAGTTCATCCCAGTTTTTGTAAGGGTTTGTGTTGATGAATCTTAAGTGTTCTGTGTAGGGTTATATTGCTGTTTGTCGTTTCTTCATTTTGGTTTTCGTCATGATTATTAGTCATATGTTGTTATTGGACTAATTATTTTCGAATGCCCCCTCATATGTACTATCTTTTTTCACTGTCGAAAACTACCGTATGCATTTTTGATATTTTTTTTTTTTTTTGGTGTAATGTTGACTGTGTCAACATCAATGCAATACTGTATTTTTGGTACTCTACTGAACGTTTCATGTAAGCGTTGGCTTTTCTATAAATAGTGTATTTTGATTCGTGAAAATACAATTAAAGTTGCTATTTAACAAAAGATATAAGTATACAATCATTATGTAAAACTCAAAATTTGAAGAATGCTCAATGCTATTTGCAAGGAAATGAACAACGTGTACCAATTGAGTTAGCGGATCCTTAAAACTGATTCAGATACAGAACAGTGAAAACAGTCTGCGATAAAAGTTATCATGCAGTACAACGTAAGAAGAATATAAAAGTGCATACCTTTTTTGAGTGATTAGTTAAAAAGCTCATAAGTGGTTACATATATTTTATTGTTAAATTATGTAAGCCTCATTTCTGTCCATGTTTTTCATAACCTCGCTTTTACCTTAGTACTCCTTTACCTTCCTTTGGTGCTTTAGGGGCGCCTGAAGTAGAACATTCATGAATTAATGATTATACAAAATAGTTTATGTCATTGTTATAGTTTAAAATAGACTAACATTTTGTTTGTTAATTTTAACTTTACAATAAAGAACACGATGGATGCCACATGTGGATTACTACCTGCTTAGCTTTCCGGAGAACCTGAGATCACCCCCATGCAGTTTTTGGTGGGGTTCGTGTTGCTCAGTCTTTAGTTTCTAGGTTGTGTTTGTGTACTGTTGTTTGTCTGTTTCTTTTCTAGCCATGGCGTTGTCAGTTTATTTCGACTTATGAGTTTGAATGTCCCCTTGTATCTTTCGCCTCTCTTTTAATATTAAAAAAAATTAGTTTCTTTCATATTTAGATAACTATTAATTCGTTCCTACCTTGCTTTATGCGAAATTTTATGAAACATATTTCAATGCTTTTTAGTAAAATAGTGTACTGCTTTTACCACATAATTCATTTCAGGTTTAACTTTTCAAACAATTCGGTTTTGCAAAAATGTTAATGAGGTTTTAATTTTAAAATCAAAAAACCTATCTTAACTTCTTATTCATGCATTACCAAATAAAATGGACTAGTGTAGTCACTCTTTTGACGCGTGAAAAAATAAAAATTACAAATAATCTGTTAGATAACATCTTCAGTAGTCAGCACTTCGGTGTTGACATGAATATCAATTATATGGTCATTTTAAAAAAATTCCTGTTACAAAACTTTGAATTTTTCGAAAAACTAAGGATTTATATATCCCAGGAATAGATTACCTTAGCCGAATTTGGCACAACTTTTTGGAATTTTGGGTCCTCAATGCTCTTCAACTTTGTACATGTTTGGCTTTATAACTATTTTGATCTGAGCGTCACTGATGAGTCTTATGTAGACGAAACGCGCGTCTGGCATATTAAATTATAATCCTGGTACCTTTGATAACTATTCTTATTGAATTATTATATGAACATATTAAAGATAATAAGGGTTTTCAGTAGTTTTGCAGAACATGCTTGGGTTAAATGCTTTATTTTTCACTTATTACGAACCGAAATAACTAATGTCACGCAAACAAAATGGTAAAAACATAATACACAAAAAAAAATTATATGTATTTTTGTCGCTGTGTATTTTCACAATTTTTTTGAAAAGAAAAATGAATACACGCAAATAAAAATGAAACTTGCGTGTATATAAACATGAATAAATATGACGCGGCCTTTTATAGCCGACTATACGGTATGGGTTTTTCTTATAGTTGGAGGCCGTACGGTTGCATATAGTTGCTTGCATCCACTTCATTTGAACTTTGGTTAATAGTTGTCTCATTGGCAATCATACCACATCTCCATATTTTTGTATGAATAAGTATCACAGGAATTTATAACTATACCTGTATGTTTTAACTTCTTTACCATGCATAATCCAAATTGAACTTTTAAAAAGAGACGAAAGATATTTATTTCTTCAAAAGTTGGGAATCAGAATTACATTAAAAAAAACATGACCCCCAACCCTCTTATTTCCCTTCGGAGTTGTTTTGAGATATACGGATTGGTTAAAAACTCGTCGCTTTAAACAACAACAAAAACGACACATAGAAAACTAAAGACTGACCAACACGAACCCCATCTTAAAACCGTGGATAATATCAGGTGTTCCGGAAGTGTAAGCAGATTCTGTTCCACATGTGACGACTTTATGGTACGACTTTATGGTACTCGTAAAGAATACTTTGATGAGCTACATCTAGTGATTACGCATCACACAATGGCGGATTTGCAAATGACTCTTATCTTACCCTAAGACATCACAAATTTCGTAACTCAGCAATCGGTCATGTAAAACCTTAAACCTTCAACTTGACTTGAAATAGCAGCATGTGTTTCATGACAAAGGGTAGACAAGACTATTACTGGTATAAACAACACAGACTTTGGAAAATTTAAGAATTAAAAACTACATTTACAACTAAAGCAAAAATACGAACCCCTTAAAAACAAACTAGGGGTCATATCAGTTGCTGCTGAGAGGTATATAGATTCTTCAACACAGGTGGCACCTGTCGTGTTGCTCTTTAAAACAACATATAAGTGACCAAACAGAAAATCAATGAAATATGACAATTTAATTGCGCTACTAACAAATCAATTAAATTATAAACTAACTCAAATTCGCAGAAAAAGGTACACAAATGAAAAAGTACACATACAGTAAGCTGATGGACATTATGTATCCTTCAACTAAGATGAAAAAATAAACACTTACCAACTTTTACAACACGTTGTATGCATGAACTCTGGGCTTTTATAGCATTCTCCTATTTTAGCCCAGTAACTACACTTTGAGCTCCTGTCTTTACAACCTACAATATCAATGTACAGGCACCTTTTATATGTAACTAACATTCCATGTTAGGCTTTTAATAGTTGCAAGAATGATTAATTAAACGAAGCGTATCGAGAGAATTGTGATGTTTCAGTTGTCGTCGATACATTGGAAATAATATCCAGCGTGTAAGTATGAGGTGTACCAATCATTTAATCTTTCGCTAGTTAGCAGCCTTTATAGATGATTTAATCAATTAAACATTTGTATACATTTCGAACAATATCCACATCATTTTGCTATAATATGCTATAATATGCTAACATTTATTTAAAGCCGAAATGAAATTACAAATGTCAAACAAACAAGTGGTACGAACATAAAATACTGTTTAAATATGACGTATTCTCCTACTCACGATTGTAATCGACACTTACCACTACAACTTTTACAACAGCTTTTACTGTAAATTCTGCATAGTCCATTACGGGCCAAGACACTACACCTTGTGTAGTGGTCTCTACAGCCTACAAAAAAGTATATAACAATGGACATCTTTGATAATTACTTATTACTACCAGTGAGGCATTGCAGCTTCATAAATTCCAGATGTTCATAGACCTAATTGCTATGAAGGATTCTGCGACACTTGACTCGAGAATTTTCAATTACTGAACTTTTAAAGTCATAGAACAATCACTTTTATTTTGTCGCTTACGACATTTTCTCTTGTGACGTCAAAACTTTACGGGAACATGTGTGGTGTCTAGCAATGGCGAACATGTAACGGGAGCATTGTATTATTGCAGTTGTCTGAAAGTTATATTAATTTCATTTTTAGCAGAATATTACTTTTACAAATGTAAGGTGAACTTTGTATCAGTTTTAAGTCACAATGTCAATTGTTTCAAGTAATTTATTAAAGTTTCTTCTATAGCAAATATAGCAAGGCGTATCGGTGACTGGGTGGTTTAAGTAGTTAACATTTTTTTTATTTATAGCAATCACTAGCCTGTCAGCAATAGGGTTACGAGTTAAAGCTCCGCACGTAGCAGACGAGTTCGATTTCGATCTTAATTGACTGGGATTGCCAGTTTTCTTGTCGAAGGTCGGTGATTCTCTCTGGATTACTCCAGCAATAAAAACTGGCCGCTACGGTATAGCAGATAATACTGCAAGTGGCGTTAAACACTTACAATCAATCAATCAATCAATCTTCTCCGGGAAAAAAGAATTGCATTTAGTCTTACGGTAATATACTTCTACAGAATCTTGCAGCTTTTAAAGTTAATTTTATTAACAAAACGCAATATAATTTATATTAAATAGTATTAAAATGCCTGATGTTTATTAAACGACATGTAGCGATATTGTGATATTGCAGCTGCCTTAGTGGGAGGAGTAATAGACTTTTTAACCGCTTATAATTTGAATTTACAAGACAGATTAAAGTCTACTTTGGATAGAATCAGTTTAATTATTAACAATTTTAAATATTGAAAACGCAATACATTTGCTGTTTCGTATTTTCAATTGTGCTCGTTAATAGTTGCTGGTTCAATAATTACTAATATAAATACATTTCTAAGACAAGTTTTTAACTTTCTTTACAGTGGAGGATAACACCATTTTCTCATTATTTGCACTGTGTTAAATTTTAAAAGTTTTTTTTTTATCCTAGCGTCAATGATGAGTCTTGTATAACAAAAGGCGCGTCTGGTGTAAACAATTATAATCCTGGTATCTATGTTGGGTTTGGTTAGCTTAAGTGAGAACTTTAAATAGTAACATGCAAACGTCCAAAATTGTCTTTCTACTTTTCCTTCATAATTGAATTAACAAGACCAAAATACTTGTCAATGAGCTTTTAAATACTTTTATTAATTAAATGTGATAATACTTTTCGACAAGGATGTTTATCTGACTGTATATGTATGCTACATGCGATTCATAGTACAACTATTTGTAAATATCATACTAAACTGTTAAAAGAAGGTAATATAACGTCACATACTTTAAAATTGCAGTTCAGACAGCAAACAGAGTCCCAACTGAGATACAACCTACTGTACACTCAACAGGCAAAGTTGACCTTAGACGTTTCGGTTCTTTTACCTCGAATTTGACATAAGCGGTCATCTCAGTACCAGAATCTATGACAAACGAGACGATTTTAATATTGAAATTATCAATTTCCCCTACCTTAGTAGCAATATACCAACTTCACCTGTATATGGTTTATACATTTCCCAATTTATTCGGTATTCAAGAGCTTGCATCTGCTAATCAGACTTTGTAAAACGTCACCAGTGTCTGAGCAGAAAGTTGATGAACCTGGGTTATGTTAAAGAACGTCTCGTCTATTTTCTAAAAAAGTTCATCGGAACATACCAAGACCTTGTTGATAAATATTCCGTATCAACTTCACAAATAATACATGACGGTCTTGATATATATATTATAGGTACTGACGTTGTTTATCATCTTAATTACGTGTTACAGTGTTCTTTTATTTGTCTTTGTAAATTATTAACGTTTACTGTTTGGTCCTTTTTTTGTAATATGCTTTAGGCGTGGCTCGGTACTGGTACATCCCGCCATTGTGTTGGTGTGCTGTGGTCATTTTTTGTATTCTTGTGTGTCATTTTTGCGTATGCGCTTTGTCTATAAGCCATTTTGTTTTTCTTTGTTGACATATTTGTTTGTTGTTATAGAGATTGAGATTATAACCGAATGTTGAGTGCTGTACACCTATTTTTGACATTTTTACCTATCATGTCTGTCTGTTGTGTTCACACATTATTGTCAATATAATGGAATATTATGCGACTAGCATACACGTGAGAGGTTTAGCTAGCTTTAAAACCAGGTTTAATCCACCATTTTCTACATAAGGAAATCACTCTACCAAGTCAGGAATATGACAGTTTTTCATTCGTTTGATGTGTTTGAGCTTTTGATTTTGCCAATTGTTAAGGGACTTTCCGTTTTGAAATTTCCTTAGAGTTCGGTATTTTTATTGTTTTACTTTCCTCTTATACATCGTTGGCTTTCAAATATTCGGTTATGAACGTTCCTGATGAAGGTAAATACGGAAAATAGCGTCGAACGGATGGATATTATAACGTGCTGTTTTCTTTTTTATTTAATACTGCAATGGGGACATTGTTTGATCCACGAAACATATACAGGATATTTATTGTATTCGTGCACCTTTTACTTAATTTTGACCAATTTTTCCTGAGTTATTTGCAAACTAGACAATCTACAAATATGTTTTTTATGCTCTTAAAATGTCATTTTCCTGATCAATTTATGTAAATTAGCAAAATATATACATATTATTCAATAGTCATGAAATTTAATTCTTAAAATATTCATTTTGCACTTAAATCTAAATTTCCCTGCAAATTATATTTCATATTCAACGTTGAAAAGAAGTAGATTTTTATTGTTTATAATAGATTAACTGAATTGAAATAGGAAAGGGTTTGCAACTTTTAAAAAAAAAAGGTCATCGAGTATTATGGAAGAATAAAAAAGGGACATTAAATTATTTTTAGCCGATCATATACGTAGTAATTGCTTGATCAAAAATTCGTCCGACAAACAAAAAGTGTTAGTCTGTCAAACTCCTTTCAAATCCGAATCTGAAAGCTCAAATTATAGAAAGTTTGAAATCGTTATAATAAAATACATCTGAAAGGAACTTGGGTCATGAAATTTGAATTTATAATTATCTACTCATTGCACAGTTTATCGGTTCTTCAACGTTTGTATTAGGTTCTGATTTTCAAATGCTTTGGCATCGAACATCAGTGAAGAGACGTTGATTGTCAAAATGCACAACTGGTGCTATAAAATATAATGTTAGTACAACTGTAACTATGACTATCTACTCACTGCGCCTTTTATTACTAGCATAACTCACCTTAAGTACTATACTTATAACCCTAACCCATAGAGTCCTTTACAACTGTTACTATGACTATCTAATAACTGCGCCTTTTAATACTAACATAACTCACCTTAAGTACCATACCTATAACTCCTAACTCATAGAGTCCTTTACAACTGTAACTATGACTATCTACTCACTGCGCCGTTTAATACTAACATAACTCACCTTTAGTACTATACCTATAACCCTATCCCGTAGAGTCCTTTACAACCGTTACTATGACTACTGTGGATTCATTATTATTCGTTGGATACCAATTTTCGAGGATTTCGTGAATAAAGGTGAACCACGAAAATAAATGTTCAACGAATGACAAATTTTCTATAGTCTTGTATGCAGACTTCGGCAAAACCACGAAATTAAATATCCACGAACATGTAAGTTTTCCTTAATCCACGAAAATTGGTACCCTCGAAAATAATTGAATTCACAGTATCTACTCGCTGCCCCGTTTATTACTAACATAACTCACCTTAAGTACTTTACCTATAACTCCTAACTCATAGAGCCCTTTACAACTGTAACTATGTACTAACATTATCATTTACCACTATTCATTGAACCATTCAAAACTTGAACTCATAACAATTAACAACTTAAAAGAGAGGCGAAAGATACCAGTGGGACATTCAAAGTCTTAAGTCGAAAATAAACTGACAACGACATGGTTAAAAAAGAAAAACACCAACAGACAAACAATAGTACACAAAACACAATTTTGAAAACTAAAGACTGAGCAACACGAACCCCTTCAAAAACTGGGGGTGATATCAGGTGCTCCGGAAGGGTTAGCAGATTCTGCTCCACATGTGGCACCCGTCGTGTTGCTCATGTTAGTACAAACCCGGAATTAAGTCTAATTCGGTAGGTCACATTCGGGAAAAGGGGGCCGGCATTGTAGTTATGACATTAGGAACATATCCGCTATCATCATGAAACGGATATTCCATAACGATCAACCAACTCGTGATGGTGTCCGTAAAACTTACGAAGGGATGATTTCAACTTCAACTTGGAACTCTTAGTTTAATAGCTTCCTTGTGGGCAGCAACCCTCTTTCAATGAAATCATGATAGGAAATACAAGCCCTGGAATATCGTATCAACTGGGAGATATATACTCCGTATGCAGCCGCTGCTAGAATGTTGCTACATAGAAATGGAAATTTCACAATTTGGAAGCTGCAATCATCTCTTTTGTCGTATAGTTTTGTTTTCAACAGACCCTCATTGTCAATTTCTAGACGTAAGTCAAGATATGAGGCAGACTTAACTGCTGTATCTGTTGTATCCTTTATCTCAAATTCGATGGGATAGATGCGTTCAACAAATTCACCAAATTTTGAATTGTTTAGTGTGAGAACATCATCTATATAGCGGAAAGTAAAGTTAAAGGATATTGCTTACTTCTTTTCTTTCTTCCTAAAAGTTCCTGTATGAAGTTAGCCTCATATGAATAAAGGAAAAAGTTGGCAAGAAGACGGGCACAGTTTGTTCCAATGGGAATGCCGATTGTATGCGGAAAACAAACGTTAAACGTCGTCCACTGTAACTACTTAGAGGCAGTACCATTTACAACTGTGACTACTTATACAAATAACTGTTTACAACTTTCAACTATTCAACAACGGATCGTTAACAACTATGATTATTTATTATTTTACCGGTTATATCTGTTAACATTCACAAAGCTTATAACTTGGTACGCCAGACACGTGTTTCGTCTACATAAAAGCTATTAGTAGCGCTATATAATTACGAGTTGCAAGGGCAATCAATTAACTTTTTTTTAAGATTTCAAAAAAGCGTTTGAGATCCAAAAATTCAAAAAGGTTCTTTATAAGACTAAGGCAAAGTTACAGCGTAACTTCTTACCTACAGGAACGCTTACAGCTGTAATTACTTACATAAGGCAATATCAACAGCTGTAACCACTTATCCATTTCAATGTTCAAACCATAACTCCTTAGCGGTAACCACTGATCCGTTTCAATGTTAAAACCTAATCTCCTTACCGTTAACCACTTATCAATTTCAATGTTCAAACCTCAACTCCTTACCGTTAACCACTTATCAATGTCAATGTTCAAACCTAAATTCCTTACCGTTTACCACTTATCCATTTCAATGTTCATACCTAAACTCCTTACCGTATGAAGGACAGGACGAAGCGTAAACAGCACTGTTTACATATACAACGAATAGAACAGCAACAAACAGCATTTTGTGGATTCCTGAAAAATGAATTAAAACATTTATATACAATAAATCAATAATCGCCCTGATTTAAAAAAAATATACAAAACCATTCACGTATAGAGTAGGTACAAAATCAAATCAAACAGATATGGGTTTGAACCGATGGGAGTATAAGATGATAAATTACTTAAACACTATCATCCATAAAAAAAACCCTGGTTTTAGGGAGAGAGAAAAAAGAAAACAAGTGTACAAACCATTTGTGAAGCTCTTTAGGGACCCGAATATATACAAAGTGTCAATAAATTTGATAATCGCCTTTTCAAAATTATAAAAACAGTTATTAAACTCATACTGCCAATGACAAGGCTACATGCTTGAGACGGGCATGTTAACATATGAATAAATTATATATTAGATATGTTATATATAGATATACAAATGACTAAATGAAAACGATTTTTGAGAACTTAAATGTACGCGTTTACAAAACAAAACATGTTTTTAGACTTTACAAAGGCAACAATTGATTTTTTCCATTTTTGTTATAGTCCTATTTCAACACAATGTTCGTGTTTTCAAGAACAAATCCTTAAAAATTCACCAATTATCCTATCATTTCAAATCAGTGGCGATTAGCTTTCATAAATTTGTTAGCAAACGTTTGAATAATCTTGAAATGAATTTTATTTTATTGATATTTTACTTGGAACAGAGGGGAAATATCATATGATGACTTTCACGACCGAACCTGTAATTGGCTTTTTTCAGAACCGGTGTTGATTCAACATTAAGGATGCATCATACTTTAACCTGATGTAAAAACACATGTTTGTTGGGAACGACGGTCAGCTGTTCTAAGCGCATAGCATGTGTAACAAATAGTTTTTTTCAAAATATAATTCACGGACACATTTATGGAACATCATATTTTTATTTCTTACACTCTTTTGTAATAAATCATGAAAAAGAACCAGAGGCGAATAATAGTTTGAAAGAATTGGAATCATCATTGCATATTTTAAATCAAAAGTCACACTTGCTGAATAACAAATAAACCAACATATTAAGACATTAAAATACAAAAGGACGTGAAAAACCAAAATATGAAGATAATAGATTTCAAACGTTGTACAAACGAAATAGAAAAACAGCATATCACATTTTCATTTACATTCCAAGTTAACTTGGATGTCCTTAACGAATTTGAAGTTAAAAACTTACAAAGGACCCAAGCATTTCACCACACTGTACACATTACAAAAATTCATTCTTCTCTGTTGTATTTTTCACCTTTTTATATTTTATATCTTTATTGCAGAGTATGCTAGTATTTATATTTATGTATTGCTCAATACGTGTATTATTTTTGTACTAGGAGACAGATTTGTAAAAGCAAATTTCCTTGGTTCTGAATTCCAAATATTCATTTCAAATGTATTATATCGTTATGTGATAAATTATCTGAATAAATACTGTTTAAACTAAAGACATATAAGTTATTTGATAATAAGTATCTAACGTCACCTGCCTGGCATCCGCACTAAAATGTAATTGATTTTTTTCTATCTAAAAGGGCTTAAACAAATTGAAAGCCATATCAAAAATATAATCATCAATAGACAGAGATGTTAGTTAATTTTTTCCGACCTTCCATAAAGCAAGAAGTATGTAACAACTTCACGAAATGATGACACACTTGAAAAACTATGGAAAGCTAGAAGTATGTAACTTCTTCACGAAATGATGACACTTGAGAAACTATGGAAAGCAAGAAGTATGTAACAACTTCACGACAGGTGTTCTTCATTGGCTAACCTATGACAATACACCACCTATATTTCGTCTGAAATACAGACGTACAATATAGAATGATTTTGATGTGACTGCATGGTAAGTATTATTATCGTTTACGACAGATAAAAAACAGCTGTTTTGCAAGTACTCCATCTTCATGCTTCAATTCGCCATGCACTCTGCTACAATCCTAAATTAAGCCGACCAGTGAGAATATTATTCGACTAACGTATGCTATACTTTAAAAAACAAATTTGGTGATCTGGTTTTTCTAAATAGCATAAATGCATGGGTTATATCCCTCTACGGAAACAAAACCTTGCTTCAGCCAATTTGTAGATCTGGTAATGTTTTGCTAATTTGTAGATAAAGTATATCCCTAAAAAGACATATACAAGTCTACAAGTCTTTATATTTGTACATGATACAAATTAAATGTATAGAACAAATGGCCTGGTATATCGTATAGGAAGACAAATATTGATGTCCAGCTTTAAAAAAAAAAGATAAATGATACAAACAACCAAAAGATCATACCTGTTATGATTAAGTACGCTTAGGTATATAAAATTTCTTTATTGCAAAAATTTGAAATAATCACGCTGAAATGCTTTGCTGACCCACTGTCCGACATTTGTTTTTTTGTCAAACATTTTGTAAAAATAATTATATATGTTATTATCGATTGACAAAGAATGACTACAATGGAGCTAATTTTGAGATACCGGTTTCATTTTTAAACATTTAAAACAATCACGTTCCTATTATAGAACACTGTTTTTGAATCAATCCATCGGAAATGAAAATGAAAATATATCGAAATGTGCATGATGAACCATTTACAAATCAATATAATTAATATATACGTTAACAAATGTAAAAGATTTATTAACATGTCATATGTGACTTATCATGTCAAACACTAAAATACTTGCGCATTCCAGATTCTATATCTTTGCTTTAATACATATTTTACTACAAAATAATTATAACCAGAATTACCGAAACACAAGGTAAAATAGACGAAAACATGTAAAAAAAAAACTACTAGTAACACATTTCTACTAAGCCTAACTTGATAAAGGCACAATATGTGGTTTGGTTAAACCAATTTTACGTGTACATAAACATCGTACTTTATTCTACGTTTGTTGTAAAATACGTATTATGTTTTATGTATCCGGGTTCCGTAAAATAGTGCGGAAAAAAAGCAAAAAAAAAAGTCGACGAAACGCAGACAATACTAGGGCCAAATTTAAAACGACGAACATACTACTATTAGTCTACCAACACTACAGAACTGAAAACTCACCTTTGAGCAAACAAATATAATAGTGAATGGAAACGGAAAATGTTTCATAGAGACAACAACCCGACCTAAGAGAAGAAAACATCCCAAGGTCTACAATGGGTCTTCAACGCAGCGAGAAAATCCCGCACCTGGAGGAGGGCTTCAGATGGCCACTATACAATAATGTATACTAGTTCAGCGAAATGGACGCCAAACTTAACTCCGAAACATACATCTTCTTTTTTATATAAAAACCAAAATTAGAAAAACACACAAGACTTGAAAATAAAGCTAGATGTTCCTGACTTGGGATAGGTGCAAAAATGCGCCGGGGTTAAACATGTTTTGTGTGATCTCAACCCTACTTTAACTGGGATTGAACTCAGGTGCTAGGAAGACTGAGTTGCATCCATACAAATTCCCTGATGAGTCTCTCGATGTCACAATCAAGTGAAATATAATGGGATTGTAAATAGCAACCTGTATCGTGGAAATATTAATTTGAAACGTAGGCCCTCGTATATCGCATTAATATTTATCAAGGAGATATATCCTTCTATCACGGAAAGAGTTGAACGAAAAGCAAGCCCTGGTATATCGCATCAACATGATCAACTGGGAAATTCATTTTTTCTATCAAGGAAAGTATTGAAAGAAAAGTAATCCCTGGTATATCGTATCAACATGAGGAACTGTGAAAATTGTATTTCTATCAAGAAAATAGTAATAAGAAACTCAGCTCCTGAGAATAACGCATCAACATGATCAACTGGAAAATGTATCCTCCATTATCAGTCAATGCTTGATTGCTGCTGCACAGAAATACAGAGCTTACTTTGAAAAATGTAAGCCGATCTCTTCTGTCGTAAATATTTGTAACAAACAAACCTGATTTGTTAATTCATTGATGTCAGGTACTTAACAATACTTTATATAAACCACATTTATCCTTTAATTTTACAGTTGTTTTTTTTTTCTTTTTTCTTTTGTGAATTCTGTTACCCTTAATTAAGGCGACAGCAGTTTACTGATGTTCGTATCTCGCTAATCAGTTAAGAAGTGACTTATTCAGTTTACAAACAGAAACTGAGAGAAATACAAATTTTCCAATTGACATTTTGTTTTCTGACGTCGATTTTTGTTTCTGTTAACAGATTTTGCAATCAATTTCGTACACAAGCTTTGATTAAGTTATTTTGGTAAAAATCAAAAATGAATACTAGAATTAAATAAGGAAAAACAAACTAAAAAGAAATTTAGTCATAATAATAACTAGGCGTTTTCAGGCGTCTTTGATGGAGTTTCATATACTATCCCTGTTTTAAGTATGGCGGGACAAATGATATGGAAGTAACAAGATCATTATCATTACAAAGCGCAAGACAAGTACTACTCTTTCTAGAATTTCAGCAGGTATCATTTGTTTTTATCAAATTTTGAAAAGACAAAAGTTAAAATTAAAAACGTAAGAGAGTACAACAATCCAAATTGATTTAACAAAATAGCCTTTTATTGTTTCATTATGGTAGTTTCATTGCTTCTAACATTCACATTGTTTGAACAAAATGTTGAATTGCTGATTTCCTTACCATTTCAGAATTAATTATCGGGATTGTTACAAATGCAGTCGTTAAATTTTGGTTGACAAATTAAACGTATTTTGTAGAACATTTCTAATTGTCTTGGAGTCTATATTTAAAATGGTGTAGTTAAATGTACGAGAAAAAAGAACTTACTTTTTCAGTGTTTGGACTGACTGAATTTCAATTACCAAACTACATTTTCAGATGTTTATATATACCATTTGGTCAAGTTATTATATGCACAATTAACCATAATAAGATACTTCGAATTCATGATGGAATAATGTTAATTACATGCTATATATACATGCAATTAGTGGATAATAGCTTATTTTTATGACTGTCATTCTTATATGACAGGTTGTTGACAAATAATTTTTAAATATGCGGGTTTATTTGATTCTCATTCGCACGATTTTGACATTTCAACAACAAATATTGTAAGGTTTTATTTTCGAAACAGGTTCATACTTTAAATATTACCCCATATCGACACTACCGGAATATGATGGATTTAGTGTAGAGACGTCAAAGAAAAACATGACATTGTGCAATGCCAAAATATTGCCATCGACAGATTGTAGAACCGTGAATGTGCATATGTGTATAACAATAATATTTAATATGGTTTTAATTTACTCATAACAAAATAAATACTTATACCAATAAAAACAATATTCAAAGATATAATTACAGTGTTGAATTGGTAACCGTTTAGAATAAGTTTATTTAAAGGTTTGATAAGTTAACCCGGGTCGTATCTAAATTTCCGGGCTCGGTAAAGAACATGAAAGTAAATATTAGAAGAAAGCTTCATTTTGATTTTCAATCTCTGTGGTTGTCTCATTCTAGAGATATGGTTTGATTTTGAAAATTTATGATTTGTTATTCCTCAATTATAGGACTTTGGCGGTCAGATTAATAATAGGTATTGTTTTACATGTAATGCACTAGATCTAGTATGCTATGATCAATTTACTACACACTTTACTAAGTTGTTGGTATAGGAGAATATAGATTTGCTTTGTATTTTAAAAATTTATGGTTTATCGTGCTAGAGTTATTGGACTTTTAAGTTATTTCTAACGCAATATTTATTTGCATATGGATACTGTACATCATGCTTGTTTTTCTACATAGCCATTTTAGAGTAAAATATCAAAAAAATACCAAACTCCAAGGAAAATTCGAAAAGTCCCTTATCAAATGGCACAATCAAAAGCTCAAACACATCAAACGAATGGAAAATAACTGTCATATTCCTGACTTGGTACAGGCATCAGAGGCGGATCCAGGATTTTAGGTTAGGGAGGGCGAAATCTTAAATTTCTGGCGAGCGGAGCGAGGCGAAAATATTTTTGAGGTGAAATTATCGAAATATTCTTTATTAAGCTGAGGACAACCCATGCTTTGCAAATTTTAGGGGGGCGCACACCCGCCACGCCCCCGCCTGAATCCGTCCCTAGGCATTTACTTATGTAGAAAATGGTGCATTAAACCTAGTTTTATAGCTAGCTAAACCTCTCACATGTATGACAGTCATATAGCATTCCATTATATTGACAACATTGTGTGAGTAAAACAAACAGACATAATAGGTAAAAATGTCAAAAATTGGGGTACAGCAGTCAACATTGTGTTATAATCCACACACTTATGTTACTTAAATGCAAAAACAAACTATTCCAAATAAAAAGCCCTCTCCAACTGATTTTTACAGTCTTTTTTCTGATGATATGCTGTAATTCTAATGTACCAGATAAGATGAAGAGTTGATAACTTGCAAACATGTTTACCCCCCCCCCCCCCCCCCCCCAAATTCTGTATGTGCATGTCTCAATGCACGATCCTGTATCTAAGTGGTTGTCTTTGGCTGCTGTCATGTTTTTTGGTTTGTGACCTAAGGACACTTTACTGTGGTAACGGCATGTAAGCTGTTACCAATATTTACTCTGATTGAACGAAATTACAGAATTTTACAGTGGCTGGGATGATAGCAGTCTTGATATGGATTTGATCAAGCGGTAATGTGACAATCCGTCCTGATTAATTATTAAGAAGTCAACATCCCATTCTCTATTCATTCCCAGTATCCAAAATCATTAGTGGGTAAATATATTCATCATAGATACATGTACCAGGATTAAAATTCTGTATGCCAGACGCGCGTTTCGTCTACAAAAGACTCATTAGTGACGTTCGAATAAAAAAAGTTAAAAAGACCCAATAAAGTACCAAGTTGAAGATCATTGAGTACACAAAATTCCGAAAGGTTTTGCCAAATACAGCTACGGTAATCTATTCCTTAGGTGGAAAATCCTTAGTATTTCGAAAAATTCAGTTTTGCTAACAGTTGATTTATAATTATGGCCATATCATGTTGATACAAAAGTGCAGACTACACTTGGTGGAATATCTGTATCGTCTAAGCCATACAAATTATAAACAAAATGTCGAAAAACTGTTAGACAGTATAAACGAAAATTACAAATTCAAAATCATTTTACACAGACCAAACTATTATAAAAGAGTAAAATATCAAAAATACCAAACTCCAAGGAAAATTCAAAAAGTCCCTTATCAAATGGCAAAATCAAAAGCTCAAACACATCAAACGAATGGAAAACAACTGTCATATTCCTGACTTGGTACAGGCATCAGGGGCGGATCCAGAATTGTAGGTTAGGGAGGGCGAAATCTGAAATTTTGTTGCGAGCGGAGCGAGGCGAACATTTTTTTGAGGTGAAATTATCGAAATATTCTTTATTAAGCTGAGGACAACCCATGCTTTGCAAATTTTAAGGGGGCGCACGCCCACCACGCCCCCGCCTGAATCCGTCCCTGGGCATTACTTATGTAGAAAATGGTGGATTAAACCTAGTTTTATAGCTAGCTAAACCTCACACATGTATGACAGTCATATAGCATTCCATTATATTGACAACATTGTGTGAGTAAAACAAACAGACATAATAGGTAAAAATGTCAAAAATTGGGGTACAGCAGTCAACATTGTGTTATAATCCACACACTTATGTTACTTAAATGCAAAAACAAACTATTCCAAATAAAAAGCCCTCTCCAACTGATTTTTACAGTCTTTTTTCTGATGATATGCTGTAATTCTAATGTACCAGATAAGATGAAGAGTTGATAACTTGCAAACATGTTTACCCCGCCAATTTCTGTATGTGCATGTCTCAATGCACGATCCTGTATCTAAGTGGTTGTCTTTGGCTGCTGTCCTGTTTTTTGGTTTGTGACCTAAGGACACTTTACTGTGGTAACGGCATGTAAGCTGTTACCAATATTTACTCTGATTGAACGAAATTACAGAATTGAACAAAATTCAACAAAACAAGGTATATGCTACAATATAAGGAAACAGTACGGACATAAAATCAAACTTAAAAATGAAATTATCCAGATAAATAAAATAAATTCAGGTAATGAAGGTGTCATTATTACCACTGTCAAATTGTTTAGATTTTGTAGGCTTAGATTTTAATACATGAGCAGGTAAATATCACCGACAGGTTCATTATAGATCTACCATTGAAGCTAATGATGGTCAATAAGGCTATCAAAAGCTCGAGTGCTATCAAAATATCTTATCGACTTGCAAGTGCAGTCTAAAACTTCCAATGCGTAATAATAATCTCAAAGAGTACAAAATATTATACTTGAAATAAAGAATGTCAAAATACATATATCGCAAATGTAATTACTTGTCAAAAGCTGTATTATATAGAACATCTCCCTTTGGCTTCCGTCCTTTCCCGATATACACACCGAAATAGGTTGTATCGCTAATTGTTAAGGTAATGTTTGATATATGGACTTAAATAAGATACTAATATTAAGATAGTATAAGGTTGCAATCTGTAATGAGTACCAACCTTTAAACAGTTTCGAACCATAAAGAAATGTCAATTATAACTTATTTTTTCAAGTTTGTTATACATTACAGATTGCAACCTAATTATATCTTATGTTTATGTCTATTTCACAGCTAGGTACTTCGTTATATCTGAAAAAAAATCTATATATAATATATTTAATTAAGTACCAGAGTATATTTTAGTTCTTTAGAGAAAGCGCATATACTCAACTTTCAGAATCGTCAGGCTTTAGCCGTCAAATTGTGTGCATTTTTTAAAACTATGATAAAAAAAAAACTGATGAAGATTCATGGTTTGTTTTTCACTCTATGCTCACATCTGAGTGCGTCAGATATCCTTTTTAAAGATAGTACTTGCTTTTAATTGTTTTATCATAAATCACACCATTGTGTTTCTAATTTAAATTGTTTTAAATTTTGTCAATTCGAAGCCTTTTACAGCCTACTATACTGTACGGGGTTTTACTAATTGTTGAAGGCCGTAAGGTTACACACTTGGCCTTTTGTGTCTTGAGGATAATTGTTTAATTTGCAGTAATTCAATAGCTCCTTCCTTTTTTCAATATTTATATATACATCTGCTAGGAATACTTAAATCTCTTTGGGTTTTTTTACCATTAAACTGCTCGGTCTTTGCTGTTTTAGTGCAACGTCATATTGTGGTTATTTTTATTTGTATCAAAGATTATATTCGATGTATTTGATGGTAAAAATTGAGAATGGAAATGGGGAATGTGTCAAAGAGACAACAACCCGACCAAAGAGCAGAAAACAGCCGAAGGCCACCAATGGGTCTTCAACACAGCGAGAAAATCCCGCACCCTGAGGTGGGTTTCAGCCGGCCCCAATAAACAAAAATGTGTACTAGTTCAGTGAAAATAAACGTCACACTAACTCCGAAACATATAAATGAACTAAAATTAAAAAAACATACAAGACTAACAAAGGCTTACAACTTTAATACGTTGTACATGTATATATGAGTAGCCGTTCGGTGATAATTATTACAATGCACGACGGTGTTGGCAAAATGTCAAAGAGAGTACTTTGACCTTACCTTCAATGACTGAGTACACTTTGATACAATGAACCCGGTTTCACTCCTTTTGAAGTCCATGCGATTCTTTCGGTTTTTGTTTTACACCTTGATTTGTATTTTCTAAATGGATTTATGAGATAGTAACATACATGTTGTTTATTTTCTTTGGTTACATCTTCTGACATCGGACTCGGACTTCTCTTGAACTGAATTTTAATATGCGTATTGTTATGCGTTTACTTTTCTACATTGGCTAGAGGTATAGGGGGAGGGTTGAGATCTCATAAACATGTTTAACCCCGCCGCATTTTTGCGCCTGTCCCAAGTCAGGAGCCTCTAGCCTTTGTCAGTCTTGTATTATTTTTAATTTTAGTTTCTTGTGTACAATTTGGAGTTTAGTATGGCGTTCATTATCGCTGAACTAGTATATATATTTGTTAAGAGGCCATCTGAAGGACGCCTCCGGGTGCGGGAATTTCTCGCTGCATTGAAGACCTGTTGGTGACCTTCTGCTGTTGTCTGTTTTATGGTCGGGTTGTTGTCTCTTTGACACATTCCCCATTTCCATTCTCAATTTAATGTACTACTGTAATCTCTAAGTTATCTTATCGCACCTCGGGTAAATTATGACGTTATGATTGGTTTAACGCCATCACGTGGCGACCCCTATTGATTTATGAGATGTTTTAAAACATACATGCACTACTGTTGCCTCTAATTTATCTTATCGCACCTCGGGTAAATAATGACGTTATGATTGGTAAAACGCCATCACGTGGTGACCCCTATGGATTTATGAGATGTTAACATACATGCACTACTGTTGCCTCTAATTTATCTTATCGCACCTCGGGTAAATTATGACGTTATGATTGGTTTAACGCCATCACGTGGTGACTCCCTATGGATTTATGAGGTGTTAACATACAAGCAACTATTGTTGCTTCTAATTTATCTAACCGCACCTTGGGTAAATTATGACGTTATGATTGGTTTAACGCCATCACGTGGTGACCCCCTATTGATTTATGAGATGTTTTAAAACATACATGCACTACTGTTGCCCCTAATTTATCTTATCGCACCTCGGGTAAATTATGACGTTATGATTGGTAAAACGCCATCACGTGGTGACCCCTATGGATTTATGAGATGTTAAGATACATGCACTACTGTTGCCTCTAATTTATCTTATCGCACCTCGGGTAAATTATGACGTTATGATTGGTAAAACGCCATCACGTGGTGACCCCTATGGATTTATGAGATGTTAAGATACATGCACTACTGTTGCCTCTAATTTATCTTATCGCAACTCGGGTAAATTATGACGTTACAATTGGTTTAACGCCATCACGTGGTGACCCCTATGGATTTATGAGATGTTAACATACATGCACTACTGTTGCCTCTTATTTATCTTATCGCACCTCGGGTAAATTATGACGTGATGATTGGTTAAACGCCCTCACGTGGTGACCCCTATTGATTTATGAGATGTTTTAAAACATACATGCACTACTGTTGCTCCTAATTTATCTTATCGCACCTCGGGTAAATTATGACATTATGATTGGTAAAACGCCATCACGTGGTGACCCCTATGGATCTATGAGATGTTAACATACATGCACTACTGTTGCCTCTAATTTATCTTATCGCACCTCGGGTAAATTATGACGTTATGATTGGTTTAACGCCATCACGTGGTGACCCCCTATGGATTTATGAGATGTAAACATACATGTACTACTGTTGGCTCTAATTTATCTTATCGCACCTCGGGTAAATTATGACGTTATGATATGTTTAACGCCATCAAGTGGTGACCCCTTATGGATTTATGAGATGTTAACACACATGTACTATTGTTACCTCTAATTTATCTTATTTGTTTTGATGTAAGAGGTCCGAGTACACAGTTATCGTCCTTTGATTTTCGTTGTCCACGAATAAAGTCCCTAGTGTGGACAGTGTGTTGCTTGCCAATTTTTTTAGTACCCCTTCCAAATGTATTCCTTCATGTTTTATGCCTCAAATAGCAAGTAGGGGGATGAAATTACACTGTAAAAAAATTTGGGTCATGAATTGTAAAGTTAAGTAGTGATTTGGTCCAGCTGAAAAAGGTTAAAAATTAGCACTTCGGAAGCTGTCAAAAGATTTCAAGACCCCCTTAACATAGAATTGTCCATATTTTGAGTTAGAGCCGATGAAGTTTTCTATAATTTTGATATGATTTGTCCCAAAAGTAGTACAACACACTGTAAAAATATTATTGAGAAAGCGCAGGTGGGATTTTTTTTATTTTCATTTATTGTCTAAAAGAAATGCACTACGAAATAACTGTGTACTCGGACCAGGGTGTGGATGGGGATTTACGGAATTGTGAATAATGGGAAAAAATATAAAGAATAGAGAAAAATGGACCAAAAAATTAAAGAATATAGAATAATGAGGTGCAAGAATATAAAGAATAGAGAATAAGGAACAAAACGTATAAAGAACAGAGAAAAATAGTCTAAAAAATTTAAAGAATACAGAAATGGAGGACCCCCATCTAGACCCTCATGTAAATGTTTGAAATAAATTACTCCAAAATGCATGGAAAGGTTAATCATTGAAATGGAATTTTATTTTTCGTGTTATTGTTCTGGAAATATCTTCTTCCTAGTTAGTTGTCCTGAACATGCATGAAATATTTGCCACTTGACGTTAAGCAACCAACAATCAATCAGTCTACCTAGTTATCGAACACTGAAGACAGTTTTAAACATCTAAAAGGTTTAAATTGCATATATTTTTTAAGTATTATCTTAAATGTTTGTTTTTTCGTCTTTCTTGTTTTTGCACCGATTGGGTTTTTTTCTTCATCTATGATATTTTTTTTACCTTTGGATGAAGGTTCAGTATTGGAATTTAATTCTCCCCATTTGTCACAAAAGAAGTGTGCGTATTTTGAAAACCTATTAATTTTCAATTAAGTGTCAAATTATAATCTCAGTTTTAACAAAATTAATGACAAAATGATTCATATGTATTGAAATTAAAAAAAAAAATCGACTACCAATATGTCACAATCCAGTCGACGATATTCATTCAATATAGCCTCACACCAATCCTACTCCATCTCCATAATTTGGAGATGGAATAATTTCCATCCCAACTCTTTAAAAACATAGCATTCGCCCGTTTGAACTTGTTCGACATTTTATCAAACACGAAGAATAAAATTGTGTAGCCAAATTACCCTGTTTACCTTTAACTACAACTGTTCATATATTTTTAAACACATTTTCCCCACATTAACTGCTTATTTCGTAACTACGCTACCAAAATCGATCACTTAGTTGTTAGTCTTTCATAGTATGAATGGCATTTCTTTCAAACATACTTGCTCTACTCTTCCAGAGAACATGCCATTTTTTATGGGGTCGTCTTTCTCAATCTTTAATTTTTCTTAGTAGTGTTTTGTGTTCTCTTGTTCTTCTTTTCGTTCATCGTTTTTTCTTGTAGTTGTTTTGTCATGACGTTGTTTGTTTTTTCCAATTTGTATTTTATATTGTCCCATTACTAACTCGTCCACCGTTTTACCAAACTCCAAAACGGCAACATAGCGTAGCAAGGACGACGTTTCCACTGTTTTGGAGTTTTTCCTTTTACAAACCATTTTTTTTTGGTGATACAAGATGCAATTTCAGAATTTAAGGTCTTCAATGCTCTTCAATTTCGTACTTTATCTGGCCGCTTTGAATTTTTTTGTTCAAGCGTCACAGATGAGCCTTTTGAAGACGAAACGCGCGTCTGGCGTATAAAATTTTAAGCCTGGAGTCGGTTTCACAAAAAACTTACGACCAAGAATACTGAATTGTTCATGACTTACGATCAATCTTAGTCGTGAGTATACTGAATTGTTCATGACTTGCGATCAATCTTATTCATAAGTATACTGAATTGTTCATGACTTTCGATCAATCTTAGTCGTAAGGTTTTTTTGTGTGTATCTATGAGGAGTTTATTGTTACAGGAAACGAGGATAGAAAAACAATGTCGGTCAGGTCTAGAAAATCCATTGATTCCTTACACACGATCTATTTCTACGGTATTGCTTTCATACAAATTATGTACAAATAAATTTTATTACCTAAATATGTTCAAAAACAGCAGTAGGTTGGCATTTAATAATTAAAAACCTAGCTGTTTTTTATGCACTAACATTGTAATTTCTCTCCAGTATGCAGCCAATGTCTGTTTTATTGTCGGTTGATACAATTTCTGACCGGAATAATTATGATAAGTCCCTGGCCGTTTGAAATGACCGTCAACATTTCGGACAACACACAACAATTCTTTACTGGACACGGATATGTTTAAGAATTTCAATAAGGCCACTATCTCCATTGACGTATTTTGTATAAGCTTGTCATACTTTACAACATATAGTTGTCCTTTGAAGGTCAACCATCTTTTATTGAAATTATACCAATTGTCCATTTCCTCGAACAAAAATGGCTTCCATTCTGTAAAGAGTCAAATTAATAATGAGTGCAAACATTAATATATATATATAATTCATTAACTATAGTAACATATAAGTAATATTTTAGTTATGAAATTTAAAAACGCTATAGTTCTTAATATATTTGTATGCTACCAGAAAGTGTTTCTGAAATGGGATTTTTCAATATTCTCACCATTATTTTAATAATAAACAATATGTTTATTGTGAAAAAAAGTAGGGTCAATTTCCACTGTTTTCGTTCTCTCAACATGCTCACGAACTCAAGTCTATGAGTTGTCAAATCCTACTAGAAATTGAATATGAAAGAGTCTTCTGTATATCAAAATCTTAAAATATTCAAATTAAAATGCTCTTCAAATCTACGTGTTTCTGTCAAATTTGCATCAAAGTATAATAATATGTCTTGAACCAAAATTAAAGTAATTGTTGTCTGAAAGATAAACTTCAAACATAAGTTTGGTTTTGATTAACGGTGTTCTTCTTGTTTTGGATAAGTACTTAAAATGTGTCTAAGACTGTCAAAATTGCGGTGTTTGGCTAACTTGAGGTGTTTCTAATTTGTTAGACTAATTAACCTTTAAGTACACACATTAGGATGTGATACTGCGAATTCAAGTAGAGATTGAAAGACTTTTAAACATAGCCCTGGTGTTGCATAAACGTAGGGAAAATTGGCCCTACCACTTTTTCATCATATCCAAACAGTTCTTTCTATTGGTAGGCAAACAAGTATTGAAACACTTCAATATGAAAACTTTTATTACAATGACATTTGATATGCTCAAGATTTCTTATTTTTTATACAAAGTACAATAAAAAAGAAAAAGAGCTTAACATATAAACAACCTCGACGGAAGAGCCGCAAGGAAAACACTTACCATATTATACCAATTGTATTTAACATCTAATTTATCACGTTCAAACGATAACAACCTTTGAAGTTCGTTTATAGTTGTACCGATAGCCACAGGTAAACCTAATTTTACAGTGTACTGTTCTGGAATCATTTAATTGCAGATCCTTATCAGTTATCAACCAAGTAGATAATTTATCGGCAATCTTAACAATTTCCCTTTGATCTTACTGCCTAATATTTTTATGATCATGGACAGGACTTTTTTTGAGGTTATTTCGAATAGACAGAAAAAATATTGCAGTCAGTACTTATAATTCAGTTAATTCTAAAGTCCATTTTTAAGGAGTAAATCATGAAAAACGTTGATGACGTCACGGTCACATGACAAAATTATGTCTATGAGCTGATTGACAATCAGAAGACGTGTTTCATCCAAAATTAAATAATTAGATAATGACGTCATGTGTCAGCGCAGTCACGTCACGTGCTCGTCCATTCGCGTCAAATGATCAATGAAATGCACGCGACTTCATTCATACAACCGAACAACTATCCAAACGTAAAAGTATTTTTTCTTACTATTTCATTTTAATTCATATTCTCAACCAAATAAAAACAAAAAGCATACAGTTAAGACAAATTGCCGATAAAAAGAATAATGGCATTTTATTTTTTGATACTGACTTCGTAAGCTCGAATATCAGCGCCCTAGCGGGTTCGCTTGATATTCTTAATTGCTGATAAAGTTACTACAAAATACATCAAAAACAAAAATGCCATTATTCTATATGTATGAGGAATTTAGTGGTACACCACAATAAAACAATGTTTTCTCTTATGATTGTGGCCTGTTATTTATTTCTTGCAAGAAGAATTATATCTCGTATCACACTGCACGGAATGTGATACGAAAATTGCGTTAATTATGATTGGCTTATCCAGCATCTGGAGACGATTGCGATGGCTATTCGTTAGATGATTGTTAACTTTCATGACAACGGACATATGTGATTTCTTCAACTATATACAAAACAAACACACTTTTCACCTGGAAATTAAATCTTCTTTTTTTTATAAAATTGTATTGCATTCTGAAGCGTTCAAATCTTTTTTAATATCTGATGTTGAAGTTTGACGACGGAAAAGGATATATGACGTCATACTGATGTGTGCAAATGACTAGATCAACGATTTGCTGATTTTTTTTATTTAACACAATAAGAGTGTTGATCATAACAAAAATAGGTTTAATAACTCATGAGAATTAGATATCGCTTCATATCAACTCTTGTTATCTAATTTAAATAGTAATAATAAACTCGCCGAAGGCTCGTTTATGAGTATATTGATATTAAATATCTCGAGTTGATATCAAGCGATATCCAATTCTCACTCGTTATAAAACCTATAAGTATAGGAACTCTCAACAGTTGGCTAGCGTTATAATCTAATTTCATATCCAGTAACAGTAGAATTCGTTTATAATCATCGGTGTATTTTGAATAAGTACACAAAGTATTTATAAATAATGTCAATATAAAAATAGGGAGAGGTGGTATGATTGCCAAAGCGACAGTTATCCAACACTATCTATTTAAAGCGAATTTAAGCAACTATAATTCACCGTACAATGACTGTATTTAAATCGAACTTTAAACTAAAGCAAATACCCCAATTTTTCACTATTTCTAAAAAGATATTTTAATATCTTGTGACGATAAAAGTAGATGAATGTTCTTTTTGTTTTGATAGACAAACAAAAGGCCACGAATCCCTAACAAAATATCCTGCTTTCCAAGAAATATAATTTGTCTTTATTTTGCTTTGATAAAAAATACCTTTCTTAAAATGCAATTTCTGAGCATGCCCAAGATGACCTGCGTATCTTCTGTTGAATTCTGCTAAAAGTGCCTCTTCTGGTGCTCTGATTAATAGAATAGCTCTGTCATATTTTAACAATGTTGTATTTCCATATTCATGAGTCTTGACAACCAGAACAGAAGAGTTGGTTATACCTTCCCCTAAAAATCCATGATATTTCAAGGAAAAGTCCACATATTCACTTCCTGTTGCTATTCCTACAATAACAGAAAGGACGTTTAGAAAAAGTCATTAAAAAAATATTACAAATCAAGTCAGGTCCCAAGTCAGGAATCGCTAGCCTTTGTCAGTCTTTTTTAAATTTTGGTTCATTTATATGTTTCGGAGTTTAGTGTGGCGTCCATTTCGACGAACTAGTATACATCATTATTTATAGTGGCCAGCTGTTTGGTCGGGTTGTTGTCTCTTTGACACATTCCCCGTTTTCATTCTCAATTCTATCATAACAGTTATAAAAAATGATTGCCAAAAAAATTGCGAGCGTTAAAACAACGCAACATTGGAACAAACGTTAGCCTTTATAGTGTTTGATTGTTTCCAAGTTAATACGTCGGGACTTGTATTTTTGCGAATACGTATCACCAACGCCATACTCGTACTTTGAAACTATCCCCAGCGAGATTATGAGAAAAAAAACGATTAAGATTACCACTTTGTTGTATGGTCAGCATAGTCAATTGTTTGATCACTACAGATTACCACTTTACAAGTTGTATGGTCGGCATAGTCACTTGTTTGATCACTACAGATTACCACTTTACAAGTTGTATGGTCGGCATAGTCAATTGTTTGATCACTACAGATTACCATTTTACAAGTGGTATGGTCGGCATAGTCAATTTTGTGGTCACTGCAGTGCCTCAACTTATTGGTAGCATTTGTACTCTGTCAAATATATCAAATATCGACTGATGTACACTGTCCCAGGTTAGGGGGAGGGTTGGCGCGCCTTCAAACTTGTTTAATCTCGCCACATTCTGTATGTGCCTGTACCAAGTCAGTAGCCTGTAATTCAGTGGTTGTCGTTTGTTGCTGTATATCATATTTGTTTTTCGTTTATTTTTTTGTACATAAGTCAGGCTGTTAGTTTTCTCGTTTGAAATATTTTACATTTGTCATTTCGGGGCCTTTTATAGCTGACTATGCGGTATGGGTTTTACTCATTGTTGAAGGCCGTACGGTTAACTATAGTTGTTAATTTCTGTGTCATTTGGTCTCTTGTGGAGAGTTGTCTCATTGGCAATCATACCATATCTTCTTATTTTTATATTGTTCAAAATATACTTATAAATATAGTCTGTTACTTTGTTTTTTTTTAATTGTTTTACATTTGTTATTTCATGGCTTTTAATATCTTGCTATGCGGTATGGGTTTTGCTCAATGTTGAAGGCTGTACGGTAATCACTATAATTGCTTACTTCTACGTCATTTGGTCTCTGGCGTAGATTTGTCTCATTGGCAATCATACCACATACTCTAATTTTATAGTGTTACGCAAAGACAGCCACCCAAGGAAAATAATAAAATAAAGAAATGTTGTCCCTCAGACATTATTGAGGGTCTGTATTGGGGTCTTACAATTCTGCATTTTAAAATTTTTGAAGCCATTCTTCTCTATTCTTTATAAATTTTGCCAATTATTCTCTATTCTTTATATTTTAGCTCCCCCCCATTATTCTCTATTCTTTATATTTTAGCCCCCCCCCCATTATTATCTTTTCTTTATATTTTAGCCCCCCCCCCCCCCCCATTATTTTCTATTTTTTATATTTTAGCCCCCCATTATTCTCTATTCTTTATATTTTAGTATCCCATCATTCTCTACGTTTTTTTATTTTTTTTGGCCAGTCGTATTCAGTGGCGGATTCAGAAATTTTCATAAGGGGGGACCACTGACTGCCTAAGAGGGGGCCCGCTCTAGTCATGCTTCAGTGATTCCCTAAATAATCGACCAAAATTCCACCCCCCCCCCCTAAATCCGCCTCTGGTATTGGCCCATTATTCTCTCTCTCTGTAAACCGCGTCCAGACCCTCATTATTACCAGTGTTAAGTGAAATTGAGAACTGATTATTGTTTTGAAATCATATGATGGAATATATGTAAATAAGAAGATGTGGTATGAGTGCCAATGAGACAACTCTCCATCCAAGTCACAGTGTATAAAAAGTTAACAATTATAGGTCAAAGTACGGCCTTCAACACGGAGCCTTGGCTCACACCGAACAGCAAGCTATAAAGGGCCACAAAATGACTAGTGTACAACAATTCAAACAGGAAAACCAACGGTCTAATATATATATAAAAACGAGAAACGAGAAAAACCTATGAACCACACCAACAAACGACCACTGAACAACAGGCTCCTGACACATGTAGGACAGGTACCTAGTGAATCTCCGTTTGGAGTTTCCAATTGTTTTTCACTTATGACATTTTAATTGAATATCTGATATTACATTTATGTGCGATAAGGGAGGTAAGTTTCTTCTGATTTGATGCCTTCTACAAGGTTTGAGCATTCATGGTGAAGGAAGTCTAGTAAAGCTCTTCGGACGCACAACATTTATAAAGAGTTATTTTCATCTTAAACAATGTTTTTTTTTTACTCTGCAACAATTTCAATATGCGTATCTTGTTCCTCTTGTGCAGCCATTTATTATAAATTTTAAAACACTTTACTCAACCATTTCAAGGAGTTACCTAGGCGGGGGTGGATAAAAGGGTTGGGTAGACCGCCCGAATTGATGCAAAAAATTGGATTTCGTTTTTTTTTAACTTAAAAAAAGTCAAACTTAAACCAAAACCTTGTGAGTGACACTTAAGTTATACTTAAAACGACGTTTTTTTTTCTATATTACGGCTAACTGAACAAAAATCTTGCACAGGCGCAACAGAAGGTCTATAATTATCTTACCTGTCGTCTGCTGAAGTAAATGACGTAACCAAGAATTTCCAGATCCTGGATAACTAGCCAAGGCTGTTGATGGCAGCGGGATCTTAGAAAGTAGCACTGGTTTACAAGTCCAATTCTTAAATGTTTGTAGGTGCCCTAGGTATAAAAGTCCATATTTGTGTACGAAGTAGTTTGGCTTTGATTTAGACAAGTGATATAATGTAAAAAGGTTGCACGCCAAAATATAGGTCACGGCGATGGCAACTGTAATCACAAGTGTTTTTGAACAACGTTGACGTCTGAACATGTGGTAACATTTCCGAAACTTCAAACAGTCAAATTAGTACTAGACCTCATCCACTGAAAATGTAAAGCAAAATTTGTATTATTCTGTATTCAACATAAGTAGGTCTTACAGTTTTAATGCTGAAAAACATATTAATTTCCTCGTTTTACTAGTTTAGAACAATTAATAGATTGTTCTATATCATGTTTCAACTTTCAAATCTCACATTACGCATTCATTTATTGACCAAATATAGGTTAACAATACATTTTGTTTTTCATTTTATTGATTTTTATGCTATTATAATCTAAACATTCTATACACCATTCACATCATGGTGGAAATTATTTATCAGTTTAGAAAATCATATACTAATATTACCTAATTCGTGCTGAAACTCTTTAACATAACACCAATATCTAACACCGTACACACGTTGAAAGTGCAATAACTGAATTGCTTCTTTTGTTCGGAATTCCGATAGGGATATACTCTGATATATAATGCAAGTAGCCAATACTTTTGGGAGACGCATTTATTTTAAACATATATCAACTTTAGGATATTATGAAGATAAAGTGGATTTAAAATGATTTTATTTTCTACTGTAGTATTAAGGGTGCTACCATTTGATCTTTATGGAGGGGGGGGGGGGGGGTGGGGGGGGGGGGGGGGGGGGGGGCTAGAATGAAATTTAAAAAAAAAGGAGGACAGGGGTTTTGAGTTAAAAAAAAAAAGGCAGGATGAGACACTTTGCAAATTAAAAACAAAAAGCAGGTTGACAATTTATGTAAAAAAAAGTCAGGATAAACTAATAAAAAAATGCAGGAACGAATAGAGTGAAAAATAAAAAGACAGGACAAAGATTACAACTAAAAAAATGCAGGATAAAAAATTTCATCCTAGCCCCCCATAAAAATCAAATGGTAGCTCCCTAATAAGAAATGAAATCGATAAATTTTTGTATCAAACTGATAGCCAATAAATTGTTTTACAAGATATAAAAACAAACTCAACAATTAAAAATGTTTTTTTTGTAAAGAAAAAAAAATATGGTTTGATGTTTTGGCCTGACCTTTTCGTTTTTCTTCTAATAATTCCGATTGTCCTAGATCTTCTGTCCTATTTCCGGACGATACTTTAGAAAGCAGTTAGTGTGCTGTGCCGTTTTTTTTATAAGAGAACGTTTTTTGTATTCATGTTTAGTATATGCATACTTGAGTAAATATAGAAGCATATAGTGTAATATGTGATTGCTTGCACTTAAATTGTAATTTGTGATTGTTTATGTCAGAGAAAATGATCATGACCTTTTCAATATCACTCCTGTTAAACCCGAAACACTAATATAATTCCTGAGGGTTGATACGCTGTATATTGAAATAGCTACATCATATGCACTTCAATATATATACTTTTAGTATATATATTTGTTATTGTGGTTTGTTAAAGCATGTGACTGATATCGATATCATGACAGATTGCTGACACAGAACGTTTTACAAATTAAATCTACTCGTATATATATGTACTATTAAGTACATAATAAATGTATATACATGTGTATAAATGTATCATTGCTGATACAGGGATCAAGATAAAGAAAATAAAACGACTGACTGTGATATCTGATTGACTGATACACTTGTATCAATGTGTAAAGACTGATAAAAGATCAAGGTTATAGTCTATGTGATGAATGATGTAGGAGTCTTAAAGTCAAGACTGAATCATCTAAATCTTCATTTATGTTTTTCTAGTGGTTTGGGATTTCTGTCCTATTGATATACGTTTACCAACAGACATGACAGATGATTTGTTCTTTATAATTAAAGAATATGGATGATTTTATTGAGATATGGGGATCAGGGTATGGAGGTTCTTGTTGAGATATGGGGATCAGGGTATGGATGTTCTTATTGAGATATGGGGATCAGGGTATGGATGATCTTACTGAGATATGGGGATCAGGGTATGGATGATCTTATTGAGATATGGGGATCAGGGTATGGATGATCTTATTGAGATATGGGGATCAGGGTATGGATGATCTTATTGAGATATGGGGATCAGGGTATGGATGTTCTTATTGAGATATGGGGATCAGGGTATGGATGATCTTATTGAGATATGGGGATCAGGGTATGGAGGTTCTTAATGAGATATGGGGATCAGGGTATGGATGTTCTTATTGAGATATGGGGATCAGGGTATGGATGTTCTTATTAAGATATGATGGGGATCAGGGTATGGATGTTCTTATTGAGATATGGGGATCAGGGTATGGATGTTCTTATTGAGATATGGGGATCAGGGTATGGATGATCTTATTGAGATATGGGGATCAGGGTATGGAGGTTCTTATTGAGATATGGGGATCAGGATATGGAGGTTCTTATTGGGATATGGGGATCAGGGTATGGAGGTTCTTATTGAGATATGGGGATCAGGGTATGGATGTTCTTATTGAGATATGGGGATCAGGGTATGGAGGTTCTTATTGAGATATGGGGATCAGAGTATGGAGGTTCTTATTGAGATATGGGGATCAGGGTATGGAGGTTCTTATTGAGATATGGGGATCAGGGTATGGATGATCTTATTGAGATATGGGGATCAGGGTATGGAGGTTCTTATTGAGATATGGGGATCAGGGTATGATGTTCTTATTGAGATATGGGGATCAGGGTATGGATGATCCTATTGAGATATGGGGATCAGGGTATGGAGGTTCTTATTGAGATATGGGGATCAGGGTATGGAGGTTCTTATTGAGATATGGGGATCAGGGTATGGATGTTCTTATTGAGATATGGAGATCAGGGTAAGGATGATCCTATTGAGATATGGGGATCAGAGTATGGAGGTTCTTATTGAGATATGGGGATCAGGGTATGGAGGTTCTTATTGAGATATGGGGATCAGGGTATGGAGGTTCTTATTGAGATATGGGGATCAGGGTATGGATGATCCTATTGAGATATGGGGATCAGGGTATGGATGATCTTATTGAGATATGGGGATCAGGGTATGGAGGTTCTTATTGAGATATGGGGATCAGGGTATGGAGGTTCTTATTGAGATATGGGGATCAGGGTATGGAGGTTCTTATTGAGATATGGGGATCAGGGTATGGATGATCCTATTGAGATATGGGGATCAGGGTATGGAGGTTCTTATTGGGATATGGGGATCAGGGTATGGATGATCTTATTGGGATATGGGGATCAGGGTATGGAGGTTCTTATTGAGATATGGGGATCAGGGTATGGATGATCCTATTGAGATATGGAGATCAGGGTATGGATGATCCTATTGAGATATGGGGATCAGGGTATGGAGGTTCTTATTGAGATATGGGGATCAGGGTATGGAGGTTCTTATTGAGATATGGGGATCAGGGTATGGAGGTTCTTATTGAGATATGGGGATCAGGGTATGGATGATCTTATTGAGATATGGGGATCAGGGTATGGAGGTTCTTATTGAGATATGGGGATCAGGATATGGATGATCCTATTGAGATATGGGGATCAGGGTATGGAGGTTCTTATTGAGATATGGGGATCAGGGTATGGAGGTTCTTATTGAGATATGGGGATCAGGGTATGGATGATCTTATTGAGATATGGGGATCAGGGTATGGATGTTCTTATTGAGATATGGGGATCAGGGTATGGATGATCCTATTGAGATATGGGGATCAGGGTATGGAGGTTCTGATTGAGATATGGGGATCAGGGTATGGAGGTTCTTATTGAGATATGGGGATCAGGGTATGGAGGTTCTTATTGAAATATGGGGATCAGGGTATGGATGTTCTTATTGAGATATGGGGATCAGGGTATGGATGATCCTATTGAGATATGGGGATCAGGGTATGGAGGTTCTTATTGAGATATGGGGATCAGGGTATGGAGGTTCTTATTGAAATATGGGGATCAGGGTATGGATGATCTTATTGAGATATGGGGATCAGGGTGTGGATGTTCTTATTGAGATATGGGGATCAGGGTATGGATGATCCTATTGAGATATGGGGATCAGGGTATGGATGATCTTATTGAGATATGGGGATCAGGGTATGGAGGTTCTTATTGAGATATGGGGATCAGGGTATGGAGGTTCTTATTGAAATATGGGGATCAGGGTATGGATGTTCTTATTGAGATATGGGGATCAGGGTATGGATGATCCTATTGAGATATGGGGATCAGGGTATGGAGGTTCTTATTGAGATATGGGGATCAGGGTATGGAGGTTCTTATTGAAATATGGGGATCAGGGTATGGAGGTTCTTATTGAGATATGGGGATCAGGGTATGGATGATCTTATTGAGATATGGGGATCAGGGTATGGAGGTTCTTATTGAGATATGGGGATCAGGGTATGGAGGTTCTTATTGAGATATGGGGATCAGGGTATGGATGATCTTATTGAGATATGGGGATCAGGGTATGGAGGTTCGTATTGAGATATGGGGATCAGGGTATGGAGGTTCTTATTGAGATATGGGGATCAGGGTATCGAGGTTCTTATTGAGATATGGGGATCAGGGTATGGATGATCCTATTGAGATATGGGGATCAGGGTATGGATGATCCTATTGAGATATGGGGATCAGGGTATGGATGATCCTATTGAGATATGGGGATCAGGGTATGGATGATCTTATTGAGATATGGGGATCAGGGTATGGATGATCTTATTGAGATATGGGGATCAGGGTATGGATGATCTTATTGAGATATGGGGATCAGGGTATGGAGGTTCTTTATTTCTGTAATATTCTTGAACTCTTTAGGTCATTTTCCTCTATTCTTCATAAATGTTGACTGTTGTTCTCTATTCTTTATATTTAAGCACCCCGTTATTCTCTATTCTTTATATTTAAGCACCCCGTTATTCTCTATTCGTTATATTTTTAGCCTTGTTTCTCTATTTTTTATATTTTCTTTTCTTTATTCTGCAATTTTTGCCCATTATTCCCTTTTCTGTAAAACCCTCAGATTTGTCATTAAGCTACAAAGCTAACATTTAGCTATATATACGTTAGCAGGTTAGTGTGTACAGTGAATCTTTAAAATTATTATTAAATGACTACTTTCACATATTATCATATACACACAAGTTGTTTACCACTTATTTAATGTAATTAATAGTATATATTCTGTAACCTGAGTTTATTACGTAATTTCATTTTCTAGATGCATGTACTTGAATAGACGAGATGACGGGTGATGAATGCACAGCATGAGCTCGAGGCGCTTACCCTGTCGTCGCTCCCGGTCCCTCTCCTTTTGATACTCACGTGATTCCCTCAGTTTGTGTGTGTACTCTTGATTTAATCGCCTTAATCTATTTATGAGATTTCAACATAGGTAAACTCCTCATGCCTTAATTTAGAACTAAAAACTAATCTTGTTTTAAAAGATTACAAATACTTACAATTGCGACTGCGTACTTTTGTTTGTTATTAATCCTATATTTTTGAAAATAAATTATGAAGTTCACCACTGAAATATATCTTCGTTCTGTACTGTACCAGTCTATATAAGGTTTATATCATAACACAGATAATTATCAAAACAAATCAGTATATGCCAATAGGCGTAGTAGATTTATCTTGTGCATATTTATAGCTTCCCGACAAAGCTTTTTATCTTCTGCATTATATGACCTGATAGGTAATTATTTACATGTAAATGATATATTAGTGTTGTTTTATCTGTATTGGGATGTATTGGTGATGTTTTTAATAAGTAACAGTTGAAGCAAGGGGATAGGTCGAGTACCACGGCATCGATTTGCGATTGATGAGGGGTCATTGATAGAAACAAAAGGCTGAACGCAGATCCACTGTTGGATGTAAATGTCAGGTCTTTGATTGTTTCTGTTTTTATTTATAACTTTTATAGACTTGGAACGATTTAGAGCTTGATATATTGTATAGTCGCCTGTAAATGTTTTACTATGGCCGTTTAATTAACTTGTTCTCAGACGTTTTTATAATATGTCTTTCTCTGATGTCATTTTGACGGAACGAAAGAGATCAACAGAAACACATCACAATACTTCCGGTCCCTCCACAAAAAAAAAGTGGCCATGATTATATCATAGATAGAAACAACCAAGAACACTATGGTTAATGTACAAATGTATTGTCATAGCAAAACGTGTTAGAATATATGCTTAACAGTACTTATTGGGAGATTACACTCGTTAATTTGACAGACTAAGTCGGCAATAATTCTTATTGATAATTACCCCTATACTAGCTATTACGACATGATAGATGGATCGGTTTGCGGATATCATTAATTTACAGAAAATCAATTTCTACGCAAAAGAAAAGATTTTAATTATAGTAACATAAATAATTATGTTTATTTCAGAATGTACATGTTTTTTTAGACTCCAATCGATTCCTCATATCATATAACAAAGATCCTTTCTAATTTTCTTTCACGAACATAAACACGTCCCGACCCCCCCCCCCCCCCCTTTTTTTTTCCTTCATACAAACATAATTATTATGTTTGTGTGAAGGAAAAACGTGAAGCAACATACTAGTGCAGAACATATTGGTAATTTGTAAAAATTTATTACAAATTACTAATATATTCTGCACTAGTATGTCTAGTATGTTGCTTCACGACATTGTGACTTGTAAGTAGATAGCAGTCACCAAGGTGACGGATCCTTATGGAGAACGATACTGTACACAGTAAATATTTTATATACTTAGTATATATTAGGATTTTCTATAATCCCAGGAATAGATTGCCTTAGCTGTATTTAGCAACACCTTTCGTACTTTATTTGGCCTTTTTAACCTTTTTGATTCGAGCGTCACTAATGAGTCTTTTGTAGACGAAACGCGCGTATGGCATACAAAATTTTAATCCTGGAACCTATGATGAGTTTATTATGAGACTAGAAAATCACTCGTTGTTTTCGGTTAAGAATATTCATCTATTACTATATGTACTTTTACCATAATGATACGTACTTATATAATATTCATTTCGTGCTGACACAACGTTAAGCCATTATCAATCAAACAACCGTACAACTGCAGAAATATATCAGATTAGGATGAATGAAGAATTCAATTATCAGCCCCCTGATACTTACTCATTGCATTCGCTTTGAATAAAAATATTTAGGTACTTTTTGTATGAAACTAATTCGTTTTGAATTGTATCGGGCATTTCCCAAAATGAAACCTGGTAAAACTATAAACACGAACGGGTCTCGTGTAAACGGCAACACAAAATATATCTTCTTGCGGAAAAGGCATTGTGTGCACAGACATCAATATAATACGTTTATACTACAATGTAGCAGACGCAGTGATAATTTACAGCTGAAATATTTGACTGTGTACTTCGTGAATTAAAGTTATGCTTTTCTAGTTTGTTAGGGGTACCACAAAATCTTTATTACTAGTATATTAATTGTAAATATATAAACAAGCTTGTCAATTTTCCAAGTGCCTGTAGAAACCTCCTCGGTACTTATCATATGTCATGTTTAAGATGTTTTTAATTTTAATTTTAAGCATTGGGTTGATGGAATAGGTATAGTCGTGTGAAATAGGTCTATAAATGTATAAAATGTACGTAAAAAGCGGTGCAAACTATGTATTTATTTACTTAAATTGTTTCTTTTAAATTTATTCTAAACTTCTATTGACATGTATCTTCAGTCATCATTGTGTCATCCGTCAAATGGTTTTATTGGCAAGTACATGTAGAAAGCATCGTTATTTTATTCAATAGGTTGTCAACAAAGGTTATACTGATTTCATGACCCAACTAGAAAATTAAAAAAAACCTTACCTTTGTTTGTTAGTTGCACACACTCGAGTAAATCTGCTGTAATAAGAACATTCCTCCTTGTTTATTGGAAATCTGTTGACTGAAATAATCAATGCCTGTTTTCAAGTTTTAATATATAGCTAAATAGATCACCAGCTTTTAATGCACGATTGAAAAATGCAAATTTAATTGTACTAAAAACAAGAGACCATAAAATGTATCAAATATATGCAAGATTACCAAGTTCTGAAATTTAACTAGAAATATTGCCAAAGGTACATTTAAGTTCTAAGAAAATTAACTAGAAATATTGCCAAAGGTACATTTATCTAATCTTGGAGTTTAATTTGTTTCCAGAAAATTCAATTTGTACAAGAGTAATTGTATTATTTTGAATATATTAAAATAGTCCAGCAGCTAAGTCCTATATATTGGTATAATTGATCACTTTATGGTAAAAGCATGAAACTTTGCACAGTGTTAGTTATGATACTAATGAACATTTTTTGGATAAAGAGCCACGAAATAAAATCCAATATGGCCGCCAAATCAAAGATGGCTGACATAAGGTACTGAGAATACAACACCATATACTTGATGTCTACCAATATGCAAGAGGTCAGTACATATTCATGTATAGCTTCCTAAAATTAATAGGTTTTTAACTTTGTTGTTCACGATTCTTCTTACAATTGAAATGTATTAAAGACATTTATTGCGATAAAACGATTGAACAGAAACAGCACTACTGTTATTCAGGAATACGCAATTTCATAAAAAATTAAATCAAAATCAAAATGCATCTTTCAGTAAAAAACAAAAGCAAAAGGAATCTATATAGTAACGCTGAGATTACAAATCGTAAATGAATATTAAACACATATATTGTTGTTTTTGGCATCCTATGTTGAAAAGTATAAGACCATATATGATTGTATTAATCGTTCGGAAAACTAGATAGCAGGAATTACGAAATCTGGTTAGATTATACACATTCAGAACTTCGACATTATCTACTGAAATGGGTTGGGTCCTAGTTATTAAAAGTATGGAGTCATATGACCAGGGGTTTAGTATATCTACAATGATGCAACCTTTAAGTTTCTTTTAAACGTCCAGTGGCAAATATATCATGCATATTTAATATGATTAAAAAAAAAGAAAAGGCTCTGTTAAACAATCCCTACAATGTACACTGCAGACCGTAGCAGTTGTGATCAGTAAAAAAAATGGATAGTGTGTCTATGGGACACAGATGGTACCCCAGCTTGCATATAACGTTATAAAGGGGCATAACTCGAGAACGGTAAAAGTGACGCCACCCAAATTCGAAATTGATCTGTATTTTGTGGTCATAAGCATTGTGTATAAGTTTCATAACATTTGGTATTATAGACAAACTAAAGTTAGAGAACGGAAACCAATTTTAGGACGTACGTACGGACGGACAGGCGTATGTACAGACGGACAAGGGTAACACTTAATGCCCCCTCCGCTGATGGCGGGGGCATAATAATCATTTGCTTTCTGACTTATGCAAATTGTCCAGAAATTACCGAAACATAATTTCCTAGTACTTGTATGAAATTATTATTTTTCGATGGACCTAGACATATAAAAGCAGGTTTCTGCACTAAACAAAAATCTAAAACTGTGGTGAGCTGAAGAAATAAATACATTATTTGCAATTTCATTGTCATTTATCCTCCTTTAAAAACGTATCGTAAACATGAATTTAGTGTGAACCTGTCATTCCTTGTCCAAATGTAAACCAAGCTTAATGGATGGAAGCGATTTCCCCTCAGACTAGATTTATGTATCCCCTTAATGCTTCCATAGGCATCACTTACATACATTAAACTTAAGTATAGAATATATACATTATAAACATCCGTAATTATTGATTAATGTATTGCTCAGCCTAAAACAAAATGTGTAACATATATGGCAGTATTTTATGTGAAAAATTTAATAAAATTGTAAAACAAATACTTTGAGACGAGGTACTGCGTTTCCATTAAAGTTTGATTGCTGTTAAATTTTAGTGCCTTAATAAAAAAAAACATTTTGTATCGGATCTAAAAGGGAAGAGAAAAAAATGTGTATCGTACTTTAATTTAGAAATATAGAAAAAAGGTCGATTTGTTATCTGTAAAAATTATACTAACCTTAATTACTTTGATATTTGATTGGCTTTCAGATGTTTGTTGTGTGAACGTCCCTGGTGAGGGTTAATCCAGAAAAGCGCTTCGAACGCACGAAATTGATAATGTGTTATTTTCATTTAACATTTAACATTTTTATTCTTTTCTTCCTTTTTAAAAATAATAAAAAATAAAACATTCTGCATGAAAAAGGACATTATTCACATGGAAATTTGTCTACGTACATATCCAGCTGCATAGTGTCAGGCACCACAAACAGATAATGTTTTAGAGTTTGTCCTATGAATGTTAACAACCAATAAAACTAACGAAGGAGTTACCTCCAATGAGGCAGTAAACATATCACTTAAAGTTACCGAGTAAAATATCAACAAAAAATAACTACTAGTTATAAGTCAGTCATGTTGAAAGATTCATTTCCATAGATACCATTGAAATGGGATTCCAGGCGGGCACTAATTGCATCAATCAGACGAAAAAGGATGTAATATAACACTTTTTTTCAAAATGCTTATATTTCAGGGGTTCATGGACCTTAAAGGGTATATCACTGCATTTTGGATTCAAGAGAGGTGTGCATTTCATAAATCTGGTTTATTTTCCAGCAGTAGGATTGTTCAATTTACCCCAATATATCACATCTTTTGATACAATTAGCTGCTGTAGTCCTTTGTGCATAAGCTTAATCCGTTTACGAGAATCTATAATCACTGTATGGCATCCACACCAGTTTGTTTAGATCGACCCAATATGTCAGCACCCTATGATGATAAACAATTATTGACGTTTGGTGAGGTTAATGCATATAGATTCTTACATGGGTAACAGTAGATTATCGGATTTATCGAATCGAGAAGTTAAATTATCGAATTTTAAAGTCCGACTTTAAAATTCGATAATTTAACTACTTAGTATCGAGATTGGATAAATCCGATAATTCACGAGTTACTTTGTAAGAATCTCTTTCTCTAATAATTATGAAAACATTTCATTTCACCTTCGAGTGCCTTCCACCTTTCTGATTTTTACGTCATACACTAACGAAATTGATGCGCAAAACCTTCATTTATGTATTGCTGGATCAAATGGAAGCAAACATTGTTAAAAGACCACCTTTAATCAAAAACATTCATTTGCATTTTATAAAATAGATATTCACATGGAATAGTAAACAATTTAACTTAAACAACAATTTCTGAAGGTCGAACTATTTCCGTATAGTAAAAGTTTTTATAAAGTTGTCGATTCATCCAGAGAGCTAATAAAGGTTATGACCTTTTAACTTAACCAATCATCTACTGAGATTATAGGCATCCACACGTTGATTGAATTTTTTTAAACAATGGGTCCAGAAAGGGTTAAATTGCCAAAGAATTAAAGAAAATTATTTATTAACCACAGATATTTGTTATATTTCTGGGGTTATTATATCATTGTATCAACTGACATCAAAAGTCAACAATAGATTTATGATAAACTTTTTATTCATCCCCAAATTTCTAGTATTTGCTTATGATATTTAACTGTTCCTTGTCATATATGGTGTCAACATCGATATTTTGAGTAAAATTGCGAAATGGTATTTTTCACTTACAATTGCCATTGTGTTTGATTTCAGCGTTTAAATGTTTTTGTCATCATAGGATTGGTTAGGACACGTTAAGTGCTCATGCAACAAAATGACCATTTCGATTGTCAGATAATCGACCGAGTGTTTCATGAAAGATGTTTCCTAATCATGCAATTGGTTTTTTTTATATGAGAAAAATACATTAATAATTAAACTACATGTATGTTTCATAACAATCCTTACTTTTGATGCTTTGCATGGCTGACAGCAATCGAGAGGCATTCCAGAATTAGATTTTATTTCCCAATAAAATGCAACATTTATGACAGCACGTGCTTCTCGAGACAATGTCACAACAATGTATAGGAAAAAAACGAATAATTTGATATAACTCATTATTTCATGGTTGCATCATAAAATACAAATTATAAGATTTGATTTTATAGGGTTGTAAAAGCGTCGACGTGTGCAAAATTTTAGTATGAAGCGCTTCTTACAAAATGTACTTCCAAATCGGTCAACACCCCAAAGAGAAGCATCCAATTCTTAAATTAACTTAGATTTCTTTAATAATGATTAAAAATATAGAAAAGTGTTGTATCTTTTTTTTTAGAAAAGAATTATGTATATTAAGAAAATAATTCTGCTTATAAAGAAAAAACAATGTGGCTATTAAAAAAAAAAGCCTCATCATTGGAACGAAGATATTGACGAACTCGATCTAGAAAAATTTTAAATCTCATTCTTTCAGCGGAAAACCATTCATTCAATGCAAAATAATTAAGATTATAATAAGACACATTGAATAATGACGCGTACGAGTTTAAGAAATCTTTATTATCCTACAAAACTTGGCAACTATGGTTTTGAGCCCCAATAATGAAAAATAAACTTTCGAAATGAATAATTACAAGGTGTAGACATTATGAAGTAGATGCACATTTCGAAAAATATTTTGCGTGTGTGTGTTTCGATGCACACAACAAAGTCTTGTTTCTGAAATAACTTTCATTTGGTACTCCTGATACAAAAAGTTTAGAAAAAACTATATTTCGTTATATTTTAGAGAGAATAATATTATTATGAACTTGCGTCTTTAACTAGTATTTAAACAAGGCCTTTGCCATTACAACAGAATTGTAGGAATATGGAGATTCAATGTGTTCATCGAAATTTTACTTCCGGTCAAGTTACAGTTCATGGATCATGTCTCTGATTTTTGTCTATATTTCGTTATATTTTAGAGAGAATAATATTATTATGAACTTGCGTCTTTAACTAGTATTTAAACAAGGCCTTTGCCATTACAACAGAATTGTAGGAATATGGAGATTCAATGTGTTCATCGAAATTTTACTTCCGGTCAAGTTACAGTTCATGGATCATGTCTCTGATTTTTGTCATATGTTGCATAAATCTTCATTAAACTATCTATACCCGAATTGAAACTCGAAAAACAATGTATTTATTCCTCTTTTTCTGAAATATTCAAAATAAGTGAACATATGTATAGAAACGCATAAAATCGACGAAAAACATTCTTAATTTTCTTCGAATTACTAAAACTAAATGCATACATTTTTCTTAAAAAAATATATGTTTGATTGATATACATAGGGTCACCGATTTCGTTTTTTATGTATTAAACAATCTGTTTTCTAGTTGGTAATAAAAACATAACAAAATGAGGTTTTACAGCTTACGGATTCTGTTTTTACCTTTAAAAAAACTTTCATCAAATTGGTATTGGTTAAACCGTTAATAGATATTCTATGTTTAAATTATTTTTATACGCAAGTCATGAAAGACTCGTGAAACGGTTTGCAAAAATAAAGGAAAAGGACTTACCGTTAGGTATAGAATAATCCATGATAGACGTATAAACCCATCTATGATTAAACACAGTCAATAGTACAGAATCAGTGCATGGTATAATACAGACTTAACGTCGTACATGTAATAAATGCAGCTGGTTTATTGGTTTTTCGATAGAATCTTAAAAGTGTGTGTTGTTAAGAAGTTTATTGGCAATCATCATTAATCAAACTCACAATTATAAGTACACAAGTGTTCTGTTTCATATTTTATTGAACTTTACATAACCTGAGAGCGGAAATTACATCGCTTTATCGTGTTTATTTTCAACAGATTGCGTAACTCAATGCTTTGCCTATTTTCTAACATAAACGTCGTTTGTTACATATTATCTTAACTATCAGAACAACCAAGATCTAAAGCCATTTTTATATGATCTGCCATCAGCAAGTCTCTATTTTTCACTTTTTTCTTCTCTTTATCCCAATGTCATATTTATATTGTTTGACTAAAACCATATCTAAAAAACTACACGTGCCTTGCAACATATATGCCTTGTGCTTAAGTAATTCCTTGTGAAAAGTACATCTTACAATGATGCGTCAATGTTTTATGTAAAGTGCATTGCGTAATAAATTGTGTGTGATTTGATTAATTTATTCGGATAAATGTAACTTGTTAAGACACATTTTGGCTTTGGATCTGATTTAGTTGGACACGGGTCCATCTATATCGACCGGTACAAACTATTGTATATACAGAAAACAGTGAATTAATTTATATAAAAAAACTGTATATCATTTGAATACATCTGAAAAACTTTAGATATTAAATAAATTATGAACATATTACAAGCCGCGCAGCATTATTACAAAAAACATGATGTTCTCTTTCCAGTATTGTGACAGTGAACTACGACATTATTTATTATGATTATAAAAGTTCTAACTTTCAAACAATAAAATTCGGCTAAAGAAACCGGCACGACTATAAACATGATAAATGTTTTGTAGACTTGTTTGTCTTTCCGTTTTATACCAAGGTGTTAGTTTCCATTGGTCTACATATGGTAGATTAACTATATACCGCCATCTTGGATTGTTAAATAGCAATACACAATCGATCTAGTTCTTTGCTTAAATCTGCAAATAATTAGACAGATTGGCAATTAATGTGTAAGACTGTTCGTTTAAATAAAGAAAAATAAGTGATTTATTGCATTATTCACAGACAGACTGTTTTGACAAATACTAAATATTGTTATTTGTTCGATTCAATAAGTCATTAAATAGTTATATAGTCATAGTTATTGTTTAGGGGCCAGCTGAAGTCCGCCTCCGGGTGCAGGATTTTTTCGCTGTGTTAAGACCCATTGGCGGCCTAGGGCTGTTTCCTGCTCTTTGGTCGGGTTATTGTTTCTTTGACGCATTCCCCGTTTCCATTCTCAATTTAGTATAAGGGGAGATAACTCTAATAGTAAAAGATGTATACTGGAATGATAGTGACATTTTCATATTTTACTTGCAGCAAGAAAACAAGTTCGGTGACACCATTTTTTCGTTTTATTTTCTCAAAGCATATTATTAAACCTATCTTCTCAGACTTTATTTCAAAATTATATCTTATAGATTTCTTTTTATTCACCAAAAAGTGTTTTTTTCATGAATAATCTATGCAAAATTGGGCAATTTTGGACGACTTGTAATTTGAAAAATACGGTGACCCATACTTTTGATTATGTTTTTTAAAAAGCATTGCAAAATCTTCATTTTCTCAAAGTATAAGAAAATTCCATCTGAGGAAATATATAGTGATGATCCAACTTAGGAGCTTTAAATGTTCCCTTGGTTTCAGACTACGTATCCGCCTCTTATTCATAGATAAAGATAGTTTTTTTCACTATCTTATCAGAAGAACAATAAGAAAGATTATTTTATGTAGAATGTATTCATTGTAAGTTTGCAGTTTAATGGATTTTTTACATTTCAACATGTGACTTTTTGATAAATATCGATTATTCTGTTATATCAGTAAGTGTAAGTAAGGTTGTTTTAGGATATACCATGAAATAAAGATAAAAACGAAATGAAGCTTAAAACATGATGTTTATATACAATATTCGTCCATTGTAGGAAAATATAAAATTTGACCGAACTTTAGAAACGTGAGAGAGAAAAGCGAGGTTCACCGAGTTTTTCTCCTTATTCGTAGAGAATACAAATAATTTTTATATTTTCTTACGATGTTCGAATGAATACTGTTTATATCCTGTAAATTTAACTTCTACGCTTAAAAGTATATTCTTTTACTTCCCTAACCGTTGAATTTGTTTTTGAAAGAAATCAATATGACTTCAATGGGGACAGCGATGAGGACCCCAAATTTGAAGTTTGACGTAAACAGACATGTGAATATAACCGTTCGCTCACAACAGAAACAGGATACCAGGGGATTATAAACGTATATATCATACGTTATCTGTGTACTTGTTTATAATAGGAAACAGGTCGATTGTAGGATAAAGTGGGGTTCGTGTCACTCAATCTTTGGTTGTTTTTTTTCTGTTATGTTTTATTATTGTTGTTATTCTATTCGTAGTTTTTCTTTAATTTGACCATTGGTGTTTATTGGATCCTGGTATTATCTTCCGTCTTTTTTAAAGGAATCGTGCAACCTTTTTACCATTTTGATTTTGTGTTGTTTCAACATTTCGCACGTTTTCGTACTGTCGATCGACCTTGTTGTTGTTGTCAATATTGTTTTGACAAGATAGTCAATCAATTATTGTATCAAAAATGTATTGATGCAACGCGTTTATAGAATAATGGGTTCATTTTAATTTAAAAATAATTTGATTAGCGAGAACTCAAATATTTGAGTTTAAGCTTTTGTTCTGTCCACTTAAATATTTAAATAGATTGAATTAGTTAGACGTCAGTGAAGCATCAAATAAAGGAATAAAGTACAGAAAGCCGAAGATCTGACGTCAATATCAAGAACTGTTGATTTAGATAATAAATGAAAACTAATCTTTTAAACTCTAATATTGTCCGCAATACTTTAAAGTCAGTGATAACTCTGACATTAACCCTGGGGCCCCTGGATTCAAAGTTTGGAGTGAACATGTAAAAGGTCAATGCATTAACCATATATGTAGATTTTCACCTGGAGTCAAAGTTTGGAGTGAACATGTAAAAGGTCAATGCATTAACCATATATGTAGATTTTCACCTGTCTTTAACACGAAAAGCAGATATGAAGTATTAACCCCATATTAAACTCTTAAGCAATACTCATATAGTGATAGCCCGAATATTGATTCTTCGATACAATTGCAATTATTAATTTTAGTCTGGAGTTCAGCAATCCGATTTTTTTCATTAATTATAAAATTTTATTTAACACACACACGTTAACATACCACAACCACAAAACTACAAAGCTTTCGTTTACAAGAGAGGCGACGAATACCAAAGGGACATTCAAACTCATAAGTCGAAAATAAACTGACAACGCCATGGCTAAAAAAGAAAAAGAAAAACAGACAAACAACAGTAAACAAAACACAACATAGAAAAACCAAAGACTGCGCAACACGAACCCCACCAAAAAACTGGGGGTGATGTCAGGTGTTCCAGAAGGGTAAGTAGATCCTGATCCACATGTGGCACCCGTCGTGTTGATCATGTTAGTACAAACTACATTTACAATATAGTCATCATAATGACTACTCCAAATTAAATTATAAGTTTAAGAAAGATCATATCGTGATGGACCAGTGACAAACTAAATCATTTCTGAATAAAAATAGAAATATAATTACAGAGAGGTGAAAAAGGGTGCACAATGGAAGATCCTTACCAACTTACTTAAAGGAAAGAAACATGCACAATTAAAGGAAAAATCGACAACAAAAGTTTGTGCAATATGAATATTAGCCTATAAAGACAAGATGTGCAGGCAGTATCCCAGGGCAAGCATAACATAACTTGTCCTCTGAAGAAGTTTTTTTTTGGTATGAGGGTGGAAATAGTGCGTTTGGTGAAATGTTCAACGATTAATCAAAGAATTTTTCTATTCTTTAAGAGATCAAACTGTAATGACTACTGAAATCCTTCCGTTTTTCTATTTTGTCATCTTTTTGCTGTTTGTATTCGTACAATGAAAAGGCTAACAATGATAAAACAATAGTGTTTACTCCGTTGAACATTTTTTACACAGATTTTTAGGAATTCGTCCATTCGAAGAGCTAAGATTCTATTAAATTCTTTGCAGTAATTTCGTTCTCTTTCCTACTCTCACTTTTGCACTTTTATAAGTACAGTATTTGCACTCCGTTAAAGTTATATGTTAATGTTGAAAATATCAAAATTTAATGATGTTACTTTTCAATTAGGCTTCAAACGATAATGAAATTATTTTAAAGTGATTTCGATCTTGCTACTGTTAAGGAAAATAAATATTTGTACGTATAATCATATGCAGATTTCAACCAATAAGAATAGACTCTCCGTTATCGCCAACACTCTAGTGAATATAAATTTAATGTTTTAGCTTTATTTCTTTCATATTGGTTCAGCAATGAGGAATTTATTTTTCATGTGTATTATTTTTGGTAAGAGTGTTTATTATTTTTCATAGAAATCTTAAATTGTGTAAAGCATTCAGTCTTATTTTGCTAGAAAATACTTGGGTGTCGAGTCGTGCTTTTTGAACCACCTTTTTTTGTTCATTAAGCTCATGGACGTGAGGCAACCAACAATCATTAAGCTCATGCTTAGAAACAGCTAAAAGTGAGTTTTCATGATACGATTTTCTATCAAATTTTCCATCCGATTCAATGACGTCTCCAATGTAAACCGAAAAGCGGTCTGTTCACACGATTGGAATTTTTATCCGATTTTCAAACGATTTTTGCAGGTGCCTTTAAAATAATTTTTCAAAACATTTTTATAAATAAATTGACAAGTATACTCCGAGGGGTTGAAGGCATATTAATAATACACAATGCAAAAAATATCAAAATATCAAAACATGAACTTAAAAATATTGGCTTGATCTTTTCAATCGACTAGTTAACCTATTTGATTTAGCGTTCACACGATTCGATTCCAGTCGGAACGTCGAATGGAAATAGCGTAGGATTCGATTTGAAAGCGACTTTTCGACTTGATATTCAACTTTCGACTTTAGTGTTCT